AGCCTGCAGAGGTGCAGAAATCCTGCTCTGGGAATCATACAGGAACAAGGATTTTTGTAACTTGGTTCTACACATTAACTCTGAAGGGATGCAGCAATTTTGCCCTCCCTTCCACCCCAGAAGCAGCTTCCCATTTGCCTTTTCCACTCCCCTTCTCCTCTCCCCTTATCCCAGATGCCAGGCACTGCTGGCATTCTCCTCCACCAGGCCTGGATCTGTGGGAGCCTGGGGTAGGTGTGTTGCCTTTCAGAGCCTCACTGAGAGCAAAAGCAGAGGAGATCAAAGACAAGTATGAAAATAATCATGTTAAAGTCATGGGCAGAGAGTCCACACCAAGAGCAAACCATCATGACACACCTAGCACTCTACTCAGAGCCTGGGGACCTGGCCTGCTCTTGGGGAAAAAGCAGCTGCACATACAGGTAAAATGTTTCTGGCCAGCAACAAGCATGCTGAAGCAGAAACACACTTTGAATTCATGGTTATAATTGAAAGGAACATCACAGTTTTCAGCTGTAAAAATCCAACTGTTGTGACACTGCATTTATCTGCATCACCAGAAAGCCACCACTGCTTGCCCCCAGTTTGGCTGGAACATTGGGCACCATCAGCTTTGTAAAGCCAGCTCTCTGAAGAAGAGAAACTTAACAAAGGAAAACCATTCAGCCCTTTTTATTTATGTTTTATTGGTAATTGCAAAAAAATGGGGGATAGCCATCTACAGAAACACTGCACCTTCAACCACTTCCACACATTAAACCTGAAAACAAAGTTAATTTCTCTTCTGCCTCCTTTGTAACATATTATAAAGTCAGAACCTAGCAGGATGATGGGGCAAACACAATAGAGGCAAACACAAATCTGCATCAGAATGGAGGAGAGCTAGTGTTCACTAGCACTTTAAGAAAATTAAATATTCAGTTTCTTCATCTTCCTTCCTTCCCCTTTAGCTAAGGCAAAAGAACTGAACCTCCTCCCCTAAAGCCACATTAGAGGTGTGACTTATTATTATTATTTTTAATAGCAGTGGCAATTTAAGCACCTCTTCATCCTCCCTGTTCTGTATTCCACTCCTTTTGTTTTGCTGTTAGAGCAAACAGGATCCAGGCCCTTTTTTTCCCCTAAAATCCTGGATGAGAGCTTTCATCTGGTCCCATTGCCATAACTGAGGACAGAGGTAGCAGAGGCTGTATCTCCACAGAAACCTGAGGAATAAGAGACTGGAAGGAAGTGTCTGAGGAGGGACACATTCTCCAGCAAACCCTGAGAGGTCATTTGTGGCATTTGCAGAGGGATGAGAAACATTGTGGCAGGTTTTTCCTCACAGCCTCTGTGTATCCAGTACACCTAATTATTTAGCAAGTCTTGATCATACTTAAGGATAATCCCAACAGGTATCTCTAAACCAAAAAATAAAACTGAGGAGAAGCAGCAGATTCAGCCAAGCAATACACAAGTTCAGTGTGCCAATTTTTAAGAGGCATCAAATTCAGACCTTGCTCTCCTTAGACCTTGCTCTCCTTAATTAAAAGCTTTGCCTTGCCAAAGGAGAAATCTGACAGCCATTAACTACCGTGCTCCAGAAATAATTCTGCACACAACAGACTAGGGAACAGCAGCACTGAGCCACTTTAACCCATCTTGAGGGGATATTTCCCCCTGGCACTCAAAGTGCAAGGCTGCATTCCCACCCCCAGCAACAAGTCTCTACTTTCTCCTCTCACATCCCTCCACCTGCACTCCTTCCCAGATGTCCTCCACAGGGCTGTGTTGGCACAGATGTTCCTGCAGCCAGAACAAAGCCCCTGTGCTGCTGATCAGCCTGGAAGATAACACAGCAGGGAGAGGACAAGTGCCTGTGATCTGTTCAGCACAAGGGAGCTGTGGGCTGGACAACACAAGGAGCAGGAGCAGCCCATGCACCCCACCATGGAGCACAGCTCCATCAGCTCCCTGCCTCCAGGCTGGAAGAGTCACAGTGTCACAGGAGGGCCACCCTTCCCCACCTCCACCCTGGGTCCCCATGCTGCCGTGGCTCTATGTGAGCGAGCTGAGAGCACTGAGCTTGCCAAGTTAACTGTGCCAAAAAGCAGCTTTCTGTGAGTTTAGTTGTCTTGATTTGCACACCACAGGAACAGACAGGCCCCTGTGCCTGTGCAGAGCCTCTTGGCCAGGTCAGGCATGAGCAGGGTGCTATCATGTCACATCCATGTTCCTGCCAGGTGCCACACTCCCCTCCTGTGCAGGGACACTGGGAGATTCCCTCTTTGAGGCTGCTGACAGATTTCTGCCTCCTCCCACTGTTTACAACCTGCTCCTGTCTAGGCTGGCTAACAGAAAAATCTCACTTGGGTTCAGGTGTAGCTTTGTAGCTGGCAGACACACCACAGAGTGCCAGTTCTCATGCTTTCCAAGCTTATCTTCTATTCAGGGTGGAATAAGGTGTCAAGGCAGAAAATCCATTCGTGCCTCTAGCACTGTGGAAACTGAGATGTATCCACAGCACTGACTTCCCAACAAAGAGCACTACCTTACTTTACATATTTGAGGATTTACCACTAATCCATTCCTCAAACCTTGCACAACACTGAAACAAATCACACAACAATGAAGGGATAGATGCCATCCCAAGTATGGATAATACCCTTCAGATCTCCAGTAACTGGTTCTGCACAAAACAGTTAAACACAGAGACCACGCTGTTAAGCAGAGCTTCAAGATGTACCTTGCACACAAAACATGTATCATACACAATGTGAGTTTCCAATTCTGCTTTGTCAAGGGAAAACACATGTCTAAGCCTTCTGGGAAACACAAACCTCGATATCTGCTTGAGTCCATAGATTGTTGTAAGTGGTGACTCATGCATGAATTCACACTACCCATTAATCTCAAAGTGACAATAATGATGCTTTAATGTCCTGGCAAAAATGGGAAAAAATGGTTAGCGGAATTTGGGAGTGACAGTCACAAAATTAAGATAAAGATCATGTTTGGAGGACAGCAAGAACAAGAAAGGGACAGGAAAAAAGAAGTCAGAAGTTATGGAGCACAGCTCTCCAAGCCAAATGGGAGTTCAGCTACCCCCTGTTTCCAAAAGCTGTTTTCCCACTCAGCTCCATGCAGCATCCCTCAAAACAATCTGTGTCTGACCAAACACAAACCCCTCCTACACTACATACCCAGCCAAAAATGTACATTTTAGTTAGACATCTTTTGAAAATTTTATTCTGTCTTGCATAACTCATTGAAGTGAACACAGAATATGGACAGAGTCCCCAGTTGCACCAGAGGAGGTTTAGGTTGGATGTTAGGAGGAATTCCTCCACAGAAAGGATGATCAGGGAGCTGGTGGAGTTACCATCCCCGAAGGTGTTTAAGGAAAGACTGGATGTGCACTCAGTGCCATGATCTGGTTGACATGGTCATGTCTGCACAAAGGTTGGACTCAGTGATCTCAGAGGTCTTTTCCAAACTAAGTGATTCTGTGATTCTGTGAAGTGACAGGATATTTACAAACACCTGGTTTTAAATGCGACATGAATGGTCCATACTGAGTTCTCAAACTCAGTAGTTGTTTTCAGTACTAAATCCAAATGAGTTCGAACATGAAATCTGGCATTACAGTAAGAGCCCCACTGTTGCTCAGTCTGATAGAAAGAGAGGTGTTTCAGGAATCTTCATTTTCAGTATTTTGGAATAGTGAATGCAAGCAATCAACCCAGACATATGCACATAACTAGCAGTAGAAGTACATGACTATTTTATTATCCCTCTTGTACTTAACATGAAATTGCTGAGATTTTTTTTTTTAAATTTTAAATTTTTTCAGAACTGTTTTTCCAGAGCTGAGTTCCTTTGTTCAAGCTGCTGCTGTGTAAATACATACATTATGGGTATTGCATCTGCCATTCACATGATTTCCAAGTTAATACTAACACAGCAAAGGGAAATATTTAACATCAAGATATGCACTGTGCATTGCAGATCTAAGACAAATGCAATTTCCATCCACAGCAAAACAATCTTGCAACAACCTCATTTCCATCATGGTTCTGTGTATCCTTGCCACTCTACAGACAGCTGCAGAGTTTGTGAAATGGCCAACACTGATGGACTTCCCACGCTTAAACCAGGGAAGTCCACCCATGCCTGCAGTGCATTTCTGCAGCTGTACACCCTCACAAACAGCTGGAGACTAGTGATGACACATCCAAGCACAGCTCATCTTGGTCCCTGCAAGTATTCCCTGATAATAAACTTGCCCGGAGTTATCAAAAAGAGCTTGGCCCTTGAGGAGGAGACTGGACAGATAATGCATGGCACTTTAAGAAAAGAAGTGAGGCAGTGGGTAACAGGTAAGCAAACTGTGTTTGCAGAACAGCTGGCAGTAGAATTTCACCTATAATCAAACAGCGCTATCAAAGTTCAAAATGAGGGGAATATAAGCTGCTGTCTAAACTCAGAATCTTTTTAAAAGGCAACAGCTGTTAGAGACACTATAAACAATATTATTTTCTGAAGAAACTGAAGTGATAAAGTGAAATAATAATTTGAAAATACTACTACTACTACTACTACTAGCAGTATTACTACTGCTGTGTGTCAGAATGGTTTTCAAGCACAGATAATGCAAATAAATCCTTTATGTTAGCCTGCAATGCCTCACACAAAATCACAGATCTGCACAGTTGAGTAAACAACAAATTAACTGAGGGATAGTGGGTACCAACATTCCCAGATGATACCAGGCCCAGCAGCCTGAGACACACACTAAGACTACCTCTGTGTAGAGCTAAAACATTTGCACAAGTGCAGCATTCGCCCCTGTGAAAGGGAGAACTGCTAATTAATGCCTACATCCAGATAAACTGCAGAGGAAGAATCTGACATGTGCAAACAGCCACTTTTGCTTATTTAAGCCGATGAGTCACATAATTAATTGCCACACTTTGCATTGCTCAGATAAGGCGTAAAGGTACAAACAAGGAAGAACCTACCAGGACTTTCCACCCGCTTGTAGTGGTAGGGATTGATGCAAACCTCCTTCTGCTTTGACCCAAAGGGGAACTCGCAGCATTCCAGAGGTTTCAGTTCGTGGTGGCTCTGCAGGTCGGGCCAGCGCCACACTCTGCAGTAGATGACGTGCGGGAGCCCCTTCCTGTGTGACACCTGGAGCCGGCCATCCAGGGAACGAGGGATTGTCACACAGTTGCTGGGCTGGCCAGGACAGCTCAGGGCTTTCTCCAGCTCCTCCATAGCACCTTTCTTCTTTTTCAGTTTTTTCACTAATGCATCAACAGCTTTCTCTGCCCACTTCTCTTCTTCGTCCCCTTGCTTCCACCCCAACAGCCTCTTCACTGCTGGGCTGGTGAAGGAGAATAAACTTGTTACATTCATGGTGACCCTGCTGTGGTGACACCACAGAACCCAGCAGAAACCACTGCCCTGTTCTTCCACCACCACCAGGGTACAGCAGATTGAGGCAGCAGTCAAAAGCAGCCTGGATCAAACAGTTCTGGTCCTTTCTCCTTTTCGATCCTCCAATCCCAGGAAGGCAGCGCTGACATCCCCCCTTGATGGTCACAACCTTCTCATTATTCTAAATCCTTCTGGTTGACAACCTAAAGGAGAGTATCAGAAAGAGAAAAAAAAGGATTTTACCTTTCAAGTTAACATACAGCAGTTAAAAATACCCCCCACTGCAACCCAGAAGAGTGGTGTGATCAAAAAACATCCAACAACAAAACAACAACAAATGCTGACAACCTCCAGGACTGGACTCAAGGAACATCTGATGAAAATTTAAGCAGCAGGACCTCCGGCTGAACCCAGTACATCCCTATATTAGAAATGTAAAATCTAGCCTAAAACAGTCCCTCCTCAGTTTAAATTTTTCACTATTAAATGTGAGGGGTGCTACAATCTGCCTGTCAGCTGTTGCAACCTTAACCAGCAAAACATCCCAAGGAAACAGTGCAGGATCACTAGTGCTTTTTTTATTATTTATTTCAGAGAGCAGCTGGAAGCAATATGCCTCAACAGCAATGTGCTGCCCAGCTCTCTCCAAAACTGCCAGGCATGAAGTTCAAAAATCACTCCACTAGACCTGAGCATAATTCAATCTGAAAAAAAAAAACAAAAAACAAAACAGTTCAGTTTTACCTACTTTGAGGAACAAATAAAAAATAAAAGAAAAAAAAATTAAAGAAAGATCTTATCCCTCATTCACTCACATGAGAAAGAATACTGCATCTGCTCACCCCACCCAAGAGCCCTCAGAGCTCCTGAGCAGCCCATAAGGGAAAGCTATCATGAACTTCACTGATTATCCACTGACCCTTCATGCTGCAATGTCTGCCTGATATACTCAAGGACTCATGAAGGAGTGGGAAGGACAAGGAAGTCCAGATAAGAGGATTTTATACAGCACAGTAGTTCTCAAGCTGGGAGACAAGGAATGGGCCTGAAGAGATGGGTCAAGAGGGGGAGGAATGCCACATCTGCAGGAGTCCCAAGAGTGTTTTGTCCTTGTCCAGGATGGGAGCAGGCAAAAGGCTCTGGCAAGGGAAACAGAAGAGACCCAGACTGGCAGGGGGTGGAAAATGAGACAAAGAGCACCACACCATTGATTTTCAAATAGACAGACAAGACAGGAAACATATCCTGGACTGGATACCAACAGGTTGCAGAGGAAGGGGGAAGGGGAAAAGGATATGAATGTTTTTGTTGCCATCAGAACAACACAAAGAACACCCAACCAACCAGCAATCTATACACACAGAGAATAGAAGGTGTCAGCACAGCCATGTCAGAAAGGATTTCACAGCTATACCAAGAAAAGATTGTAGACCTGAAAACTGCAAATGCTATGGCACACTTACCCTCTTGACTGTCATAAACTGCAATGGTTTCATAGTATACCACTACATTTGAAGAATTTTAAGCTGAAAACCATCTACTTTATTCAAATTAACTTGTCACTAGAACAGTTACCTAATTGCAGAGGTTCAGTTTTACTAGGCTGACTGCAGAAACTACATTTATGGGAATAATGATTATGGACTAAGACATAGGCCACATCTACCTACACTTCAAACTGGTACATTTCTTTTATGCTAAGAAGTGAATTAGAAATAATAATGTCCATGCAAGGGAAGATTTGCATGAGCCTGGGGCAAATTTAAGAATTTGTTTTGTTACATGGGCATGTGCTATACTGTTAAATGAACTGAAACTCCATTACTGTCACTGACTGTACTCCAGGTATACTTTATCCTTACATGCACTGTAAAGTGCTCTATTAAAATGCTGTGCTAATTTAAGAACTGAATTACCAGAACCCCAGTGCATGTGCTTTAAATGTTTGTAACTGAGTTATTCCCAATTCATAAATAGTCTGTATCTCAATCAATATTCTATGTATCTTTTTTCCGGTGCTTTTCAAATAAAATATACAAGTTCCACACACAAAAGTTACAAGTTCCAGTAGTTTATCAAGTAAAGCTTTCTCCTTCACTTCCATCTGAATTAAACAGAAGAGATTTGAGTTGAAGCTCTAATAAAGGAGGAAGTACAAAGTCTACATTTCAACCCGAGCTTCATTCAACATTGATAATGTTTACAGATGTGGTTCTACCCAGGCCTGACCCATTTTTCACCCAGCTACTTGCTGTGAAAAAGGAAAAGTCCTGTCTGTTAAGCCTGTGTGTTCATACCAGTGCATGAAAATCCAGCCCTAACACGGGCTAGCACACGGGCTCTGCACAGACTAAGACGACCTCGGATGCAGCCCCAAGCAGTCAGACCAAAGGAACAGATTCTCTGAAGTCTTTGGATCAAATCCTGCAGCACACACATATTCCACTCCCCCAATCACGCACTCCAAAACAAGTTTCACCCTCACCATCAAAGCTATGGTGGCACCTCTGTGGCAACAGCTGCTGGGAGCAGGAGGAACAGCATTAGGCCCAGTGCTCGGAGTGAGCTTGGGAATAACGCAGCTCAGCAGGACCCAGCTGGGCACCAGCCTCCAGCCAGGGATTCCTGCTCAAGTCCTGCCTCCAGAACACAGCCTAAGCACACCCCAAGCCCTGAACAAGCAGCAAGATAAGGGAAGGGGGACAAAACCCACAGCTGCTGTACACTAGTTTCTCTAAGCTCCAAAACCAATATTAAGCTAAAAAAAACCAAAAAACAAACAAACAGACAAAGAAAAAAAAAAAACAACAACAAAACCAAACAAATAAAACCCAAACCACAATGTATGTGGAGATTTTTGTTTCCAAGAAGCAGAGAGCTTGTCTGCAGGGCTGAGCCCTTGCCAGTACATTCCATTTCCCTTTCTGCCACTCTTGGTTTCTGCACTGCATCATTTCCTGTATTACTTCTGCACAAAGTGGTCTTATCAGCTGGAAGTGCAAAATAAAGATTAAACCACGAGTCAGCAGATGACACAGTCTGTGTGTTTGTTCCCCAAATCCACGTGCCCTTCTGGGAAAGTGGGAGTTAGTATTTCCAGCAGCTAAGTGACCACCAGCCCTGGAAGGGTCTGTTTATTCACAAGGTAGGGATGAAACAGAAACCTGGGCCAAACAACAGAGCACTCTCCAAAAGGCATCTGGCATCAGTTTAAAGGAAATTGAGTTGTTACCCACTTATCAGACACTCTCTACACTTCCAAACCCATGCACTTTTTACTATGTGTTCTGTCTGCTGATGGATGTGCTGGAATCAACAAACTCCTTTCAAATCCTGATGTTGTTTTATTTGTCTTCCTTCACTGCTGTTGTCTTTTTTTGTAATTTTTGGAGTAACCACAAATCTGTATGCAGCCTATAAAAAAATAAGTGAGCATTATATTTCTATATATATCTGTCCAGCCAGCCTTGTATTTAAACAAACATATTTAGGCAAAATGCCTAAGAGTGAAGTCCTATTTTTCTAGCCCTCAAAGAAAAGATAGTTACTCCATCAGCAATATGAAGCAGACATTAAAATATTCAATGAGAGTGCTTTCAAATTCCCACAGGAGATCCCATAGGAAACTGTCCCACTTTGCATAAATGACTGTTTTTGCTGGGTGGAGAAAGGGTTTGGACAATTAGATGATCCTCTCCCAGAGGGGTGGATGGGGGAGGAAAACAACTTCTAGCACAAGTTTCAGGCAAACAAGAAATGACTCTAACTCTTCTACTAATTTCATTATTTGTATTACAGGCTCAGTGATGCAGGCAAAATGGATCCTATTAAATATTTTTAATATATGCTTAGCACAGTTAGACATAAAAATGGGCAGGAACCACAGTGAGGATAATTGTTAATAGTGAAAACTGTCTAGTCTATGACTACATTTTAAAAATCCAATTTATCTTAGTCAACATACCTCTTCCCAGCATCCATTACTTAGTAGCACTATAAAGAAATAACAAGCAGAGAGATTTTAATTTGCTTCTTTAAAAATACTTAGTCATTCAACCTCTCTGAGAGACACATACTTTCAGCAACTCATGTAACCAGTACAATATTTAGACCTCTTTTAAAAAAGAAACAAACCCAAACAGATTTTGGCACAGAAGGCAGGGAGCTGCCTCTTTATACCAGCAGGAATAAATACAGTTTCCATGTATTACTAAAAGGCATGAAGTCTAAGCAGCTGCAATGCTAGAATGTGTAACAACAGATTGTGCACTAACTTAATCTAGCTCCCTATTCTTGGAGCAAGTAGCAAAAAGTTTCGATTTACTTTTTCAAGTAATGTGATTTGTGAAACAGGAAAGTCCAGAGTCTTCTGCTGAATTACCCTTCTTTTAGTCAACAAATTCTTTCTTTGCACCTTCTTATGGCAGAAGATCAGATTTTGCTCAGCTTGGAAAAATGCACTAAACCTGGTAGAGACCTCAGTAACATTACAACACACATGCAAAAAGAAAGCACGTTTCACATCAGAGTGCTGTAGAACTCATTAGAGAGCTGACAACCTGAATTGGCTTCCTTTGTAGCTTTGGAAAATGACAAGAAGGAAAAGGAAAAAAAATAACTCTTTTATGTTCTCCTGGCATGGCACAAAGAATTCAAAAAAACACTGAAATATGTGATCCTGTGTTCTGATATACAACATATCATTCAAGGAAAGAGGAACACACTGGTGTTGAAAACACCTCATCGTACCTAACAGAGTAGGCAGGGTTTTTCCTGACCTGGATGCAGCAAGGGCCAGGAGGATGGGTATCTGCAGCCTGTTCTGAGAAGTAACCTCTGCTCCAGCCCAAAATACCCACTCTGTCAGAACTCCTTTTGAGCCATCCCTCGAGCTATTTGGCTGAGGCGCTGCCCTTCCAAGAAAATCTCCCATGTATCACTGCACAGCCCTCAGGGAAAACCCTGTCAGATACCCACAAACACCCTTTAGTTCAGCAGGCAGGGGGAGAGCAAAATGAAACCACAGGGGCAATGTAGGATTTACCAGTGGAGGCAGAGGAGGGCAACAAAAACCCAAAAAGCCCATTGCCCTGTTAGTCCAGAGCATGAAGGGATAACCTTTCACTACCAGGATCTGCCAGCTCTTCCCCAGTGCTCCCCAAAGTTCAAGCCAAGAACACAGTGTTGGGCCATTTTCTAGTGAGCTGCAGCTTTTCTTCTGCCCACCTGCCCACTTGGCTTCTGGCAGACAAGGCACTGCTCCTTGCCCTTGAAGTCTCAACTAGCATGATTGCAGGAGTAAGACAACAGCAAATTCTTACAGGTTTTCTGGATTTGAAGGTACCAGATTTGCCAGATTTATGGTAACTTTGCTATTACTTCCCCAGAAAAAATACCCACTTTCCAAAGACATGAGATACCGAATCCTGTGTTACAGTGTAACTAAAATGGCACAGCAGTCTTTCTAAGCAAGTATATCATTGTGGGAAAAGAACATGGCACAGTTCCAACAGACATCCATCAACAATTAGATCTGCCCTTGTCCTGGTTTAGAACAGCTCTTCCCAACACCTTTGCAACTGTTTTGACCTACTGAAAACCATACTCCTGAAAAACAAATTTAAACACCATACCCTTTCATATGTTTTATCTCCACCATGTTTACAAAAAACACTAACACTATACAGTCTCTTAAGTGATCACCAGGTCCTCAAATCCTGCCTTTTCCACCAGAGATGAGAAACACACTGCTGAATTTTACTCATTCTTGCATGTGAGATTCCACAAAGTCACAAAACACCAGCTCTTCCTTTACCGCCTGCTGGTCTCCTTGCCGTGCTTATTTTCTATATATTTTATATCGCCAAGACTACAGGAAAGAACTAAAACCAAGTTTGCCAAGATAGCTGTTCAGGAAGCTGGGTAAGCCTGGTGCACAGCAGGGCTAGCACAAGTAGGATAGATCAAAACATCCACCCAGGTGTGCACAAATCCCCCCTGGTGTCGGCGAGCAGCCGGACTGAATCGGATGTGCTTTCAAAGATTATCTCTAAAACCGCAGCCTAGTACTTCAACCAAGGTCAGGAAGGAACTGCAACTTGATGATTCAGTCAAAACTCTGACACAGATGGGATTGCAAAATATGAACTTCACTAAAATAACCTATATGATGAATACAAGGCTGTGAATCACAAAACTTGCCAGAATAGTGTTCATAAGGTGTGGGTTTTTTTTTTTTTTCCCTAAATGCTATGCAGGAAGAGAACTAAAGGTCTCTCTTAAAGAAATCCTCAAACTATGACAAGACCTTCAAAAGAAAAACATATCCAAAGAAGCAGTTGTCAAGAGACATTATGAATTACCAGCCATCACAGTGGGTATTTCACTGTGCATCTTTGGGGCAGGTTCATCCATTTCATTTGTGCTCTGTTGTACTTAAACTCCACACATTGTCCCGCCAGGACACTAAGAGCACTCAGGAGTACAGGAGCAGCCAAGGATCTCAGTCAGCATTGTTAGATGGCACAGATCAGGTCCTGAAAAATGCAGGAGAACCTCTAAGACCAGTCTGCAGCACTGGCTATGACTTTGTGAACATCCACCTATCAAAGTAAGTTAGAAGACCTTTTCTAAAAGGTGAAAAATCTGGGGAAAACAGATTTTTTTTCCCCTTTCATCATAAAACTCCTGTGTAACTCCCTTTTTCCACAAAGGCCATTCCCTTTCCTGACTTTTTGAACTGTCTTTAGAAAACAGGTGTTGTTTACAACAATAACAAACACACATCTGTGTGGGTGTGTTAATACACACAAAGGCAGGATAACTGAAACCTCTTCCTATATTTAGATCTGTCTGGTCAGCTCTAATTGCATAATTTAATCAAAACCCTCTCCAAGGGAAACACATCCATATTCATCACAGGCATCAAAGGAAACATCTTTACAAACTATATCCTTTTACAAACCAACACATGGTCCCACATCACTTGTCCAATTGTTGAATTCCTCCTTTGGGAAGGGCACGGAATTTTATTTCTTTTTATCAGCTGAAAAAAGCATTTCCCTCCAATTCATCAGCACAGGGTGGGAGGAACTTCCTTCACAGGTGAGATGCGGAAAATTTACTGACATGTCACTTTCAGGGGGTTTTTTAGGCAGTTAAAACATACATCTGCAGCATAAAGGAAAACCTTTAAAACAGAAAAGAAAGAAAAATGCCCATCACCACTCAGGCATCAAAATTTTTGAGTGAAGCTCATAAAATGCAAGATGTGTTTTGTCTTCAGAGAACAGGACAGTCTAGCACAGACTGCATGAATTTAAAAAGGGGTTTGTGAGCTCCAGCCAGAGCAGTGCATTTTATATTTTAAGGTATATTTTAAGGAGGGGAGCCCCACCAAATGCACTCCAGTTATGCTCAGCTGAGGCAAGCAACTACTCCTACAAATGATTCATTTCACCAAGAGCCTGCACCAATACAGTTACATCAGCTGCATTAAACCACTTCTAAAGAGTGTGACCCAGACCTCATTTATCAGAGATTAAGTAAAGATGCTAAATTACAGCTCAAGATCCCCAGCTTTAAAGCAGAATCCTTCACCAAATCAAAAGATGACAAAAACTGAGAAGAAAAATTACTTATTCACCAATAACAGAGTTATTGGGTCAAGCCTCAGCAAAGCAGAACAAACTGGTGAAAATTAAACCAAAAAAGCAATGCTGGTAAATTAAATAAATCTTTCCACAAATTAGTGCTCCACCCACCATTTATGCACCTTAAATAAGAATAGTCAGTTTGCCAATGCTGAAGACATTTCAGTGCATTTCATGAGATGCATGGTTTTTTTTACTTTTTTAAAGGATTCTTGCAGCTTTCCTCGGCTTTGCCTTATCTGTAAAAATTAAAGAGCAGTTTTTTGGCCTTTAAACAACTTTTAAAATACTGTACCTTCTTCATGTCTTTAAAATGTCCATGCTGAATTTCACCAAGTGCCCTGCAATTCACAACTACCATTCTGGACAGAGAAAGTGTTTAAAGATGACAAAGCTTTCCAAGCCAAGTTTATACAACTCAGACACAAACACCAATATTTGCCAGACTTCCACTGTCCAATGAAACATTATTTAATTACTGCATGCCACGAGTGGCCCACTGAAAACCAGGACTGGACTTCAGATGACACAAGGCCCAGTGTGCTCCAGGTGCTCAGGACACTGAGGAGCAGCTGCACGACCCCATCACAGCAAACACTCCCTGTTCCAAGGTATTTATCAAGCCACCCTAAGTCACAGACCCTTTATAAATGGAAGATCACAGTGCTTATAGATGCCCCTTCAGCTTCCATACAAGACAATTATACTCTTTAAATAAAGTTTATGACTTACAGGCAAGTACAAATCAGGGATCCTCTTGAGACAAAGTCAAGGACACTCTGGGTTAACAAAGTTCAAAATTCATCCACAAACACACATAAAGGGTTGACTGCAGCCTTCACCAGCAGCTGAGGTACAACTCTGAGTGTGTCTACACCAGAAACAGACCCAGAAGTCACAGACACACCTTTCCCCTCCCAAAAGGGCAAAACAAGGGTGCAGACATTCGTGAGGAGTCAGAAAGATCCAAAAAACTGTGGGATGAGGCAAAAGCAGCTGTCACAGCCCCGTGCCAGAACATCTGCAGAATCTCACGTCAAACTGTTTTCTCATATTCCTGAGATCAAGGCTTTGGAGCGTTCTGTACAAAGGCTTCAGCCCACAGATAGGAGCTGATAGTTAATGCAGCAGTTGGGAACAGCACAGCCTGAAAGGAAGTGGGAGATATCCTCCTACACTGCTTACTGGGAATACTGAGTTTTTATAACAGGAGAAAAGGGCTGTAATCTGTCTGACTCCCTGGTTATCTGTAAGCTTTTCATGACTTTTGGAAGAGGAACCAAGCCACATAAAGAATTACTCAGTACCCCTCCCTTATCTGCAAGCTTTTCTTCTTAACAGAGCCTTATGATTCTGCATATGGCAATAAGACAACCTATTAATCACTCCAGCATAATTTTTTGAGACCAGTTTGAAGTTTCAAAAGTCAGGTTTTGCAAAGCTGCAAGTCTCTTACAGCTGAGACACCAAAACACAGCATTTTCCAAACACCCTATGCTCTGCAAGGTCAGCAGCAGGCTAGCTTAAAACAGCCATAACACTTCCAAATTTTCCACTGCTGCCTGCTACTGAACAAACAGTCACAGCTGGCCTGGTACTGAGGATGGACAGAGGAACTCCAAGTTCCAAAGTTGCTTGCCAAGAGTACTTACTTCTAGGCTACAAGCAAAGAACACACAAAGATTTCAGACTTCTTGTCTTTTAGCTATTCCATAGATGTCTTTAATTCTGGGGCTGAAACCAGCACTCCCCAGCTCCCACTGTAAGAAGCCTTTAGGCTCAAACAACCCTGACTTCTGGCTGGCCTGGAAGATTGAGAGTCCTCATGTACAAGATCAGTGAAAGCAAGAAAGTAGGCAAAGGTGTGACAGAAAAAATCAGGAATATCAGACTTGAGCCAAAGCAGCCTGCCACCAGCACTGCCACCTCTCCCTGTTCACATCCCACAGGAGATGTGCTGGGTCTGACCATGAGCAAGAGTCATTCCTGATAAACCGGTGGGGAGAAGGGCAAAGCTGGGGTTACAGCTATCCAGTCAACTTCAGTAAATAGCCTGGAGCATTTATGCCAGTTATGCTGATGCTTTCTGCAAAGAAGCCTCTAGCCAAGCCAGAGATAAAAATGAGAAAGATGTTACAGTCAGATTCCCATCTTCTGGAGAGTTCCCCAGCACAGCAGAAGGCTACAAGGGAATTCAGTGAGTACCTTGTTCCAGCACTAGGAAAAGTAGTAGCTCCTGCTACTAGGGAAATACCTACAGTTTGTATCTTAAATCTGTAGATAGTCTAATTCCCTAAAGTTAAGAAATTACTACAAAGATGCAAGTAACAAAAATGATTAAGGGCTTTTAAACACATTTATCATATAGCACCAAAACAAATGCTTTCTAAATTTCTTTTGAGAAAAGTGGATCGAAAGCCAAAAATTTGAAAGTGATTGATGCAGTGGTGCAGAACCCAGGAAAGCTACAAACACTGCACTGGCTCACAGCACAGATCAGCTTCAGGTGTCCCAGCTGTCGTCACTGGCAGTGATTTCTGGTAACACCAATCTGCCTTTACAGAAGGGTTTTTAGTGGATTTAGTATTTGCCTTTTCTCTGATTTCTTGATAATGCTGCTAACTGTACTCAGTTTGCCAATCGTTTCAAGTTATTTCATCCTCTAAAGAGGAAAATAAAGTTTCTACTACCAAGAAGGTAAACTTGGACATTCTTTTCCTCCGGAGGTAAAACACTTGTCCTGTCTCACACAGGACATGCACTGGATGTGTTCTGCTCATGCAGTTGCATTAAACTAGAAAAACATCTCTAAGACAGCTTGCAGTTTACTCTAGCAAAACAACACTTGACCAGGAAAGCTTGCTGAAGTGTTGCTCTCCATCAGTCCTCCCTCACCCCCCATAAAAGATACTGCACCATTAATCACTGTCCTTTTTCTGCCAATACAGCTGCACTGGGGCTTTGTAGCTGATGTCACTGCTGGCAGTAGTCTCTAACCACCAACATAAGTATCTGGGAAAAAAATCCTGTAAATTAGACCTTTCCTTGGCAAGCACTTTAAGGAAGCCTTCATCTGGGAGTGCTGCAGCACAGCCTGGCTACCTCCAGCAGCTGCCTTGGGCCAGCAAGGTCACAGATCCACAGGCCAATGAGCAGCCCCAAGGGCTCGCTCCCACCCAGAGAGAAAAGGTTTCCCTTGACTCCCTTGTGCCAAAACTTCCCCTCTACCTGACAGTCAGTTCACCCTCCCAACCTGGCAGAACCAACATAAACCAAAAAACACCTTCTGCAGCATCAGCTCAGAGCACCAAAGTCACCCAGGCAGCTTACACAAAGGAATTCATGCCTGGGACTGAGAGAAACCCGGCTCTTAAGAGTTCTCTCCATCTCAGGGAGCTGCCACCCTCAAATTTTAAGTGACATCCAGGTCAAAGATGAGCTCACACTCAGACATGAGTACTTCAGCTGATTTGCAAAACCTGCTCTCATCCCCAGAGGAAGGAGCCCTGCCTTGGCTGGTTCTGAATAACCAAACACTCCAGCAAGCAATTCAGTCCTCCTCTACTGCCACTGCCTTCTGCTCTGTAACTACAGCAAAGCTGGGGAAAAAAGGGCAATTTCATATCCATCTATCCAAAAACACCACACACACTAGAGCCCTCTGCGCTAGTAACTACACAGCAAACTCGGGAACAAAAAGAGCAATTTCATATCCATCTATCCAAAAATACCACACACTGCAGAGCTTTAACCCAAGAGCATTTATAAAATATTTTCCACATGAAATATAATACGACACATTACAGAAACTATAATTGCATTAGCCTAAGTTTTAAGCTAATAAAGACAAAGACTTTTCCTTTGGCTACTACATCCAAGAGAAAGCACTTAACACTGACACTAGCTAGCATGGATAATAAAGGGCCTGTTATTAAATATGCCAGACTGTAAAACCAGCAGCAGGCAAAAATGCAAAACAGGAAACTGCAACAGTCAAGATGGCAACCTATATGTAAGTCAGCTTTTCCAAGACATTCAGCAAGGTCAAAATTCACGTTTTTCAGATTAGTTTACTTCATCACTGCATTCACCAGGTAATTAGCAGAACTAAGATGATGACATAACCAAGGAATGTTCGTTCTATCTATCTATCTATCTATCTATCTATCTATCTATCTATCCATCCATCCATCCATCCATCCACCTACCTTCTTGGTAATAGAAAGAAAACAGTGTCTGACAAGAGCAAAGAACAAGAGACTGTGTGAGGGGAGATGAAATTCTGGTCTTGAATGTTGGAGACTCATGGTAAGACCTCAGTAAAGCCACTCAAGTTGGGTCTCTGTCCTTCCCATCTCCCTCTTCCCTCCCTGTACAGGGAAGCAAGCACATGCTTTAGATGTGTTTGGGATTCCTGGAATACTACCACCCATTTGAAATTAAGCAGTGTAATGGCATTATGCATATAGCAATCCCTGAAGTCATCATGTACATGTTGCCAGGTCTTTTGAGGTTGAAATAAATTTCAAATACTACATTCTTTGTTGGGACAAAACAATAAAGCAGTTGTCACACAACTGGAAAAACAGAAGTCATCCAGATTTGGTCCTGGGCAACCTATATGGCCACGATTGAGCAGGGGGCTGGACCAGATGAGCTCCAGAGGTCCCTTCCAATCTCAACCATACTGTGATTCTGTGAAACTCCCAAAACAACCACCTGCCAATTAATTCGGCCACACTTCAGAAAAGCAACTGGTCCAAGAAAATTGATAGAACTCCACTTGCTTTGGCACAACTACAACATTGCATCAAGGGCTACTACACTGAGGTAGGGACTGAGCTCTGCTGGCTGTGCACAGGCAGACACACAAGAAAGCTGCTTTCTCCCTGGTTTTGACCACTTTAGAGAATCCAGAAGTCTTCTGAATTGCCTCACTCTTCCTCCTTTCATCCTTGTACCCCTGAAGTTTGGCTTCATGTATGGCTCTGTTCAATTACAACACAAATCCTCATCACTGTCACCTTGCATCACATACAGCCCTGGTAAGAAGCCACTTTTCCACCCCATTTTTCACTGCTTGTGAGCTACTGGAAGATTCTGATCTACAGAGGTTCCCATCCCATACTCATCACTGAGGCACCAGATACCTTGAGCAGCCATGACTAAGCCCTGCCATGTTCACATCCTGTTTGTCTCCCTGCCCATCTGCAAAGGCAGGATGGATTATTTCATTACACCTGGAATTAAGTCAACAGGAAAAAAAATCATCTTGTAGTTTTACTAACCTAAGTAAAGCCCTTCCTAGATTAAAATAAATCCAAACCCACCTTCCCCAAAGTATATTTCAGCCCAGAAACCATAACAGTGGTAAAAATATGTCAAATTTCACACCAGAGCATTTAGGTACCAAAAGAAAGATCCTTCATCAAACAGGATTGTGTTTTACTGATGAGCCAGTTTTAGTAACTTCTCAGGAGCTGCGAGCAGAATCTCCACTCCTAAGCAGGTGCTGGTGTGTGGCCTAACTTGAAAGTAAATTTCTTGCTTCATGTAAGACACCTTGGAAACCCTTGGAAAAAAGACAACTAGCCAACAGTGAGCAAGGGTGTTCTGCCAACTATTTTGTCCTACCAAACCACTAGCAGAGTTTGTTTTACAACATCTTGGGAGGGCTAGAAAGAAAAAGACAAGGAGTTAAAAAACAACAGAGAACAAAAAATCCAATCCATGCATTTTTGCTATTCTTCAGGATACAATTCTGGATAAATCACAGGGACACCCCAGAGATTTAAACCATCAACCGAAAGAGCAGGAGATGTCAGGAGATGTCAGTTCCACACCACCTTCCACG